CCCCGGTCTTTAACCGCGTCGCGCTGGTTTGCACGCAAGGCAAGTTTCCATTGTACAAATTCTGGCATTTGAGGTGGCGCAAAAATGTCCATGCTCCCGTATACTACTCCTACCCTCCCTCCCCTCTTCATCCCCACCGGGCCGAGAAGGTTAACAGGGACCTCTCGGCCGCCTCGGCGCGGGATATACCAAGTTAGGCAGGGAGCAATTTAGACGTCGAGGCTGGATTTAGAGAGCGTCGCGCCGCCGGGAGGGTCGGGGGAGCATGTACCGAGGGCGCTAACGCACTTAGCTGCTTGTTTGTGGAGCATGTCGGCGGCGAGGGTACGCTTCCTCTTCTCAGCCCCCACCGCCTCCTCCTCCTCCTCCTCCTCCTAACTCCGCCCACCTCAGCTATGTAGTTCACTGTCAATACGAAAGGTCGATCGGGGCAAATATAAAAAATAAAATAAAAAATTGGTGGAGCATGAATTTGTAACAGTTAAACAATTATGAGAAATGTGTGTGAGTCGCGCACACTTACCCTCCTGTGGGCATCTCCATTTCAGTAGAGAGCATTTCTTTAAATTAAAGGAAAAATTGTGTACTACAAAATCTTCTAATTTTAACTCGACCATTTTCGTTTTCGACCAAGACCAAATGGCGCATAGCGTGTTTAAAAGAAGCAGGTTTAAAGATTGTTCGGAAAAAAATAATTGCTAGATTATAGAAGATTTTGTCAAAATTATAGAGTACTCAATGTCTTTCAAGCCAGCTATCGCGAGGCGAGGCGCAGCGGGGCGGCTGAGAGGAGGGTGGGATTCAAATCACATTTTCTGCCGAGCGCAAATTGCAAGGCGAGTCGGGGCCGGAGGGGCGCCCCGCCGCCGCCCGGCCCGACCCGAGCGTCCACGGCGATACCCGCCCGTGGCGCGGCGCTGCGAGGCGGGTGGCCTAGCCGCAGAACCGCAGGCGCTCCGCAGAGCCCTGTAGCGAGCGAGCGTCGATGCTCGTCGGGAAAAAGTGGTGTGAGGTAGGGTAGGTAGAGGTTCTGCAAAGTCTCTCGAGCTGGGAGTATCGACGGTCTACCGGCCGCACGCGGCGGCGCCGGGAGTCAGCTGACCTCTCGCGTCTCTCTCGCACTCGCCGCTGCTAGCATACGTCTGTCTCTGTCGCCGAAACGAGCGTCGCCCGCTCGCCAGCGGCTGACGAGCTGAGCGCCCGCTCAGCTCGCCAGGAGACGAGCCGAGCTGAGCCGAGCATCTCCGGAGAGGTGGCGCGGCGTGGACCGAGCGTCGACGGCTCGCTCGCTACAGGGCTCTGGCGCTCCGCACGGCCCCCTCCCGGCTCAGCTGCTACAGTCGCCCTGCTCCCCTCCGCGCGACGCTCTGCTGGGGAGCGGGCAATTTATTCAGCGAGAGAGAAGAGAACCTTTCTCGTGTTCGACTTCGCACAGAGACGGGCAACAACAGACTAGAGAGAGCGCGACAGGTCGGCTGCTCCGCGTGAGCGCTCGCTGACAAACGGGTGACAAAGAGTGAGTGCGTGACGATCGTGATAACAGCGCCACAAACGGGACAAAAAGAAATCTTTTTGCACCACATACGAAAATTGGGAACACAATAATAACCCCGAAAACAGCCCTACTCTTCAAATTCTATCATCTGCTTTTAAGATATGCACAGTGAAAAATAGTATAAGGATTACAGGAAAACGTTCCTTACTCACTTACTTACGACGTAAGTTGTAAAATTACAGTTCGAAATCGTAAACATACATGCAGTACGACTTAAAATGCACGGGCGAGTGAAAATTGTGCTTTCGTAAATTAACAACTCGAATTACAGTTCGAATTTACACAAATTTTGTAAATTTACGATGACATTGATATGATGCTGATTTTTGGCAGAGTATTTTAACCGAGAAAAACTTTTATTTGAAGAGAGCACAGTGAACCTACTAAAGAGCAGGGAGGAAAGCCATGGCGCCGACTGCCCCACCACCGTATTTTTCACAGCCGCCACTCTTCGTGTTAACCCCGCCCGCCCTTTCGCCCGCGTATACTCTCCCGCCGCCGCTTCTGAACACGGCGCGCGAGCGGGGCGGACTAAAATGCATGGAAATAATGAAAGCGCGCTCCACAAACTCGCCGTCCAACTCGTCTCAACGAAAAAGAATGAAGTATGCCGAGAGGGGCGGCGGCGGCGGACGGGAGAGGAGAGGGGAGTTGTCTCCTCACCGTGACCACCGCCGCCCTCTCGGCCAGCAGCCCCCCCTGCGCTCGCTCACCGGACTGCTTCCCTTCCGAATTTGCATGATTCAGGGGATTGCTCGAACCAGTAGGGCGTGGGGGAGGAGGAAAAGGCGAGGCCGACGTGGAGGAGGATGGGGAGCACGACAACGGCGCGCGCGAGGCCGCCCGCAAAAGAACTCGGGGCCGTCATTATAATCCATCATTAGCACACTGTTCATCATTTGGCGCGACTGTAATTTTGAGCGCGGAATATCGCAATGGAGGATCTCTCTCAGTACAGGAAGCGTAACGATGAATTAGGAGGCAAACTAGTAATAACGGGGTCGGGGTAGATGTACGTCAGAATATTTTTAGACAGTCCCCTATAGACTGTCTCTACCAGACGGAAACGTACACCCACCTCCCTTCGCCTCCTTGCTATCTACAGCGCACAACGGGCGACCTGCGTGTGTCATT